TGCCATAAAAGTTGGAAGAACCACCTCACCATGAATAACAGCTTTAAACCCCAATATACGAAAAGCATGTAAATGGTGGTTCCTACGTATTTAGATTTAGGGAAACACGTTGGAGAGGAAGGCTATGATCAATTTTCTTAAACTGAATGTAATTTATTAGGAAAATTAAGTCTACCAAACTGGAGATACAGTAAGAGATTTAGTGGGAATAATACAGGCACCAGATTTAAACAAGGAAGGAACATGTATTATTATTTAGCTGTTAGCTTTGATCAGTTTAGCTATTTCAGGGTTCACCCTTTTTCTCATAAATAATCTCAGTTCTCTCTTGTAACGTTGGGATTGGTGGTCTAACTGATGCCTGTTTGGGATCGACACTGACGGCCTTCATACAGTACGACAGACACACATTCACTGCCACTAATATTTTATATTTTACTGCTGTGCGTCACAAAAAAGACAGCAGGAGACAAACCTCCATGCTGTCAATGTAGCTATGGATTCTAATCGAACCATTTCAATTAATTTATTCTTCATTATGTGCCATATGATACACCATAGAAGGCACTATGTAAGGGCAAATTCTGCTTGCATGCAGTATTGCATCAATGTCTTAATAACAAGTGAATCCGCTCACATTCATGCATTATTTTGACAGCCCTAGGGGGAAAAAGCTTCCATCCTGAAGACAGCACCTAAGAGGACAACATAAAATAACTGTCGTTATGAAACACTATACACAACATAGAAAGATTTGCAATCGACATTTCATCTGAAAAATAAATCAAGTCAGTGGTATTGATGAGTTAACCTACCAGTCTGCAGCTTTCCTCTAAAGAGATGCACTGAGAAATGTAACACTCATAACAGTGTCTGTGAGCCGGGTGAACGGAGAGGGAGGAGGGAGAGGAAGTGAGTCGTATCGTGTTAATGTTTGGTTGTAGCTGTTGGGAGGTTGGTGTGATGTCGAGAGCGCCCTTTTGACCGACCTTTTGGAAGCGGGCAGATCAGCGTGTGGGAGAACACACAGTGTAATTTTAGCTTGTGGTTTGTGAGTTCAGGATCAGCAGCATTTATTGTGTTTTTTCCCGAAACAAATAACCCCTCTGTAGTTGGGGTCACACTGAGCCTGCTGGTTGCTTTATACAAACTAAAACAGTGAGCAGAATCTTCTAGACCTGGAGTATGTCACCCTGCTCCTCCAGCTGCGTTGCATCCAAAGAAGTCGATAAGGCGAGAACAGGACTCTGAGGACAATTGAGAACGTGATTATACGTTGCTGGAATAAATGTGTAATGAGGCAGATAAACTCAGTGACAAATCACTGGCCCAAAGAAAATGAAAGCCATGTGAGGCCGCCTGTCGCTTTATTCTTACGGAGTGTTTGTGCCGCCTGTCCTCACTCAGACTGCATGTTGAGAGGAGGTTGTGTGGCTCAGGTTCTATTTAGCGACATCTAGAAGCTGCTTGACATCCTGCCCGATTCATTGTCTTCATTAAAGCTTTCATTATTTTTATCATTATTGTCATTTGGATTGTCTGCACAGTAATTTGACTATTTGTCGGTATTGTCAAAAGTGACGCCAAAACATCTCCATTGCTCCTGTTGGCTGGCTGCAGTGTCGATCATAGACCCCGCCCTCTTCCAAAAACTGTGCGATCAAGCAAAATATGGTTTCTATCATTCTAGACAGTTGTTATCCCACTGATACATGTTCAAAGTCAGTTTAGAGTAAAGTTGTTATATATATAATACATATAATGGCACTGTTCTAGCGTTAAACACTGAAGAAAGAACATGTCACTTTTGTTACACGGCTGAAATAGAGGGGTATGAGGCATGGCTACAATGGGTGCTCTGTTGGTATTTTGAGCAAAACAATATAAAACAAAACAAAATAGAGCATGTGACAATTTAATCAATTATGTATTTATTTAAATATTATGGTCAGTTGTTGTGTCTTTCTGGCCAAACAGCTGCTGTGAGGCTAACGTAGCAGCTTGGCCACATTGGCAACAACCCTCTGTACATGATGTCAATCTGGTAGCTTCTTTATGTAGGATATTTACCTTTGTAAAGTCACCTTTGTGCAGTAGAAGAAGGAGAAGATGCGTCATCAATCTATACATCTAATCATCAATACAATTCATAATGGTCTTGTTTCCAGTTGCCATTTGACAAAGGCATAACAATCAAATGTCATATAAGGTTTCAGCAAAGATCTTCTAATAAAATCCACTGCAATCCAGGCTATAAAATGTTTTGGCTTGTAATGATTGTGTTTCTGTAAATACACTAAGAATGGTGTCAATGTGCTGCTTTATTAAAGGAATAATTTGCATTTCACAATTGTCACAATATCTCGTATTATTGCTGTAAAAAAGATCATTACAGCTCCCCAACTAAGGAGTTACATGCCATATCAAGCTTTTTTAACTTGGAAAGAAAGCAAATACACACTCTGTTTAAGTCTTTGTAACTAAACTTGACACTCTTCTTATTAACTAATTAATCACAATTTATCAAAAGTTACATTTCCTGATACAACATATAAAACTGTTGTCCAATCTATAATCACTTATAATGAACATATTTATGATATGTTTAATCCCTAAAAACTTTGAAGAAACTGATAATATTCTTTCAGCTGCACACGGAAAAAACTGAAATGTTGAAAAATCATTCTGGTGTACACTTGATAACATTACACTAATTGCAATGTATCTCCTGATGCCAATGAAGAAAAAAAAAATGTAATGTTGTGCAATCAATCAAATAGTATTCCCATCATTGATGTTTAATCATAAGACGTGTGGATATTGTCAGGCGTGAAGCTCATACATGTGTAATTGAAAAGCAAAAATAAATTAGGAGACATGGAGGGGAAGTAATTTAAACAGAAAATCCATCAGTGTATTTAATATCATTGAGAGACCAAAGGATACAGTGAGTGACGCCTGTCACTGAGGGGGACATTTGATCCCACTGGCTGATTAACAGAACACATGACAGTGGAAGATAATAAAGTACGAGTAATATATACAGCATAACGAATGTCTAAAAAGCGCACGTTGCCTTGTCCCTCAGATTTAAGATCAAGATAAACTTCAGTCAGTGGAGAAGCCTTTGCTCTCACTCACCATGTTGTCTTTACTTCTGAGTCTACAGGGAGCTATAGCAGTCTGAATACTAAACCTGCTTCTTTCTGTTCCTTTAATCCTATTGTTTTATGTCGTTTACAAGGCACATTATATATGATTCAGTCCTACTCTCACATATGGAAAAAGACATCCCCATAAAACATCATCCTTTGTTGTTAACATTTAAGATACATATATACTTTATTGATCCCAAATTGGGACATGTTTTGGTTGCAGCAGCATGTAAAACAAAGTATTGCATATAATAAGAAATAAGAAAGAGTAGAAAAAAAACAATTATACAATATAAATATATATTAATATAAACATTATATCTCAAATAGAAGATAAAACAGAAGAGTGAGAACAAATATGTAGACTATCTGACAAATAAAACACTATTGAAGGGCATATTAAATTAGATATCGTTCCTAATGAGTTTTTTTAGTGTTCTGGTGTCAATGGCTCTGATGCTGCCCCCCCCCCAAGCAGACCACAACAAAGAAGAGTGCAGAGATTTCCAACATCTTGCTGCACATGTTGAAGGATCTCAGCTTCCTCAGAAAATAGTGTCTGCTCATCCCCTTCTTGTTCACAGCGTTAGTGTTGATCCTCCGGTTCAGTCCGTTGTCTAAGTATACTCCCAGGTCCTTGTAGTCCCCCACAACCGCCACATCCTCTCCCAGAATGCACAGGGGCTGTGGAGACGATGATTTATGCAGTCCAACTCCAATCTTTCTTTTTGTGTAGATGCTATGTGAATGAATACTATACCTCGTGTTACATTGAATTCTTAAAGAAAATGTAATTTTTCCAGCATTTCTCTATGTCGAAAGGAGAACCATGAAATGGGTAAAAGCAAATGGAGGTCGAAGGAAGCATGAGACCTTAGTGGAGTTGTAAATAGTAGGGTTTAATCAAAAACTATCAAAACGTAATACCTAAATGATTAAACTGCATGAGCTGTGTCAGAGTTTGTTAATGTTTTGATCGCTATTGTTACGTTTTTCTCCCTTCACCCTGGAGGAATGCAATACAAAAACGAAGTATTCAAGGTAAAACTCTGCGAGTAAATTATAAACTGTATAAATGGCAATTTTTTTTGGTATTAATTTGAGTCTTTTCTCCTTTTACTGGTATGGCAATCATATGTTGTGAGGAGCAAGCACAAAAGGACAGGACCTTCCTCCTCGCTGCATTCGCCAGCTCTTTAAAAAAGGCTGTACAATAGTGATTGCTTAAAGGGGACCTATCATGCAAAATGCACTTTTGTACGTCTTTTATACATGAATATGTGTCCCCGGTGTTCCAGGGAACTCACCAAGTGTCAGAAAACACAACCCTCTCTATTTTCCTCCATACCCAAATCACTAAAAACGGGGCTGCAATGGATCTGATACAGACTGATCCAGATTTGAACATTTCTCTGACGTCAGGACGGAGGAGCTGACCTATCAGGGGAATGAGAGGTTGCCGTGGCATGGTAACAGCATGGTAACACAACGCTCGTAACTCGGCCCCCTCCTTTGCAGGGGGGCGTGGTCAGCTGCAGCGCATGCAAAATAGAGCGAAATGAGGCATGGCTAAAATGCATGATCTGTTTGGTATTTTGAAAAAGAAAACGTATAAATATACCTTATATAGGTATGGCCCTACAATATATTATTCAAATATAGCATGATAGGTCCACTTTAAGTTTGTGATACATTCATTCATGGTGTGATTCATGAAGAATGGTGTGTTTCTCTCCCCCGCTGAGTGGAAAGTAGAAGCCCATATTGGGCTTATATGAGGTGTTCAGGGCCAATGACGCAAATGCCGTTAAGGTGATGCTATTTGTGTGAGATATTAGCTTCTCGATGATTATGTTTTCCCCCCCTACTTCTCAGGTGAATGAGATTTACCACGACGAGTCGCTGGGAGTCCACATCAACGTGGTGCTGGTGAGGATGATCATGCTGGGGTACGCCAAGGTGAGGCTCACACTCCGTTTATGTTGATTTGCACCAAGAATGTAAAGCATGGTGAGGGCAATATGATTTGTATGCGAGAGAAGTTTTACTGTAGCTCAGAGACAAAACATGTTCCTCCTCACTGCATTGAGTTTGATCACATCACACAGAAGCTGTAGTCTCAGTCTTCATAACAGGGCTGCAACTACTGAGTTTCTTTTTTCATTCCACCCAGTGATTGTTTTAAAAAAGAAACTGTCATCACAATATTTTGTATTTGTATAGCCAAAGGTATTCTGCTCTCACTATGCAGCACAGAGCCACCACACTTCAAATTAGTTTGAGTGTAGTAGTTCCATCTATCCTTTCTGAGATTAATAGGCCTCAAAAGTATTGTAGTTTAAGTGCAGTACTGCATAAAACACAATGACTTCAATACACCCAGGTGTTTTCTTAAAGAGAAATTATGCTTGTTTGGTTTTTACCTTCCCTGCAGTGTGATATATATGTTTTTGTGCATATAAAGGGTGTGTAAATGCTAAAATCCCAAAGTTCCCTCAAGAGGGAGTTTCTCTCCCACACGCTCTCCCCCATGCAAACGCCTCCATTGGACTCTTGGTTTACAGCATGGTAAAGGACAGATACACACATGTCTCTTGTCTGCTACAGAACTAATAAATACAGAGGCATAGTCAATTAGCAAAAATGATCCCTTTGATGTCGATTAACTTGATTGATCTTTTTAAGACCAGTTATGAGAATAAACATATAGATATGGATTCTTTGTTTGCACAAATCACCCTAAACGTTGGCCAACAAGTTCCAGAAGCCCTTAACATATACATTATTTATGATTCATTTGTAGAAGTTGTTGCTACAGGTCAGCAAAATGCCCCATCCTACCTCCCCACTCTCTGTCCACAACAATGTGTTGTGTTTTCTGCGAGGAAACAAAAGCTTTGAGCCAGAGGTGAAGCATCAACCCATCATCTCTGGCTGTTAGAGCAAACAGTAAGCAAAAGAAAAGCACACAGTGCCTCAGTGGGATTAAAGGCTAACGTTTCATCCCAGGAGAACAAAAACAAAAACAAAACTTTGGCAAAAGCCATGAATTGTCTATTTTTTGTTATCTATTTTCAATTATTTAGTGCTCTAAAGTCTCTGGTCTGCTATTAATAATCTGCTGTCCTGTGCAACATCACAGTGATACCAATTACAAACAAATGTTTCATAGTTTTGTGAGCATGGATGCTTTTTGTTCTCGCTCTGTTATCTATTTTGTATAATTGCCTCAGAGAGGTGGTTATTTCTAGTGACACATCCAAAGCCATTATTATTGTAGCATAGATTATAAATAGTGAATAATACTGCCGGCTTTCTTTTACACATACTCTAAAAATACATTATTTATGATCAACTGGCCTTTTTACCATATGGCGGATGAGAGCAAATTACCTTTTGCTTTCCACTTTCATTATCACCCCAGAGCCCACATCTAAAATATGTTTACACTGAATGCTATGCTTTCCCGATCGGATTACCAATCTATACAGTTTTGTGCTGCTGCCAGAATACTAACATGTTCATTTACACGGTTACAAGGTTCATCGGTAAGCATTTCAATCTCTTTCTCGCTCTTTCCTGTCAGTCCATCAGCCTCATTGAAAGAGGAAACCCATCGCGGAGCCTGGAGAATGTGTGCCGCTGGGCCTTTGTGCAGCAGAAAAGTGACCTTGATCATGCCGAGCACCACGACCACGCAATTTTCCTCACTCGCCAAGGCTTCGGCCCCACGGGGATGCAGGGTAAGGAGCCTGGATGACACAGTAACATTCAAATAAGCCATTTTGCCCTGTACACTGTTACCAATTTAAACACAGCTACAGAAGGTTACCCATGAAATACACACACACACAACATCAACCTGTAAAATGTGTTCTGTGGTTTATTCTGACATGAGTCACACTTATACTGCCCTTCGATTTAATTTTAAGGGATACAGACTGATTTTAAAAGGTATACATTATTTTTGCTAAAGTATTTTTGCAATTTTAACAAACCATTTTGATGAAAGTTCAAGATCAGATTCAGTCTGATTACATTTTAAATGCAGTTGACATGCCCCACTGACTCAAATAAAAAGGTCCGGGCTCTCGTTTGAAAAAGCATTGCACAATCAGAAAGCCAATTTCTCAGTATCAAGTGCAAATGGTACGGTATGACCAACCAGCCGCAGCATCGTTGATTTGGTGCTTAAACATATTTTAAATACTTGCGAATCACAATGGTAAGGCTGGTGGCAATTTCAACTGTCTGCCAGATATTGACATCCCCCCCACCACCACCTAAAAGCAGCCAAACAGAAACAGTGAGGGCAACTAACTGTCCCAATCAATACCATTAAAGGCCCATTAAACTAGAATTAAGTCACTTGCACTGCCCCTATGAACACTGGTTGCATTTTTTTCTCCAATTGGAAGCAAACTATGTATGCTTTGTTTTAGGCAGTGGTGGAAAAGGTATTCAGATCATTTACTTGAGTCAAAGTACTGATTCCATTCAACTGCAAGTAAAAGTACTGCATTGAGTATTGTACTTAAGTAAAACTGTTTGAGTCTGATTCGGAAAATGTACTAAAATAATTAGGAGTAAAAGTACACATTGCAGAAAAAAACGATTAAAATAAGTATTTTAATATATTTTGTATTTTGATCTCACTCATTAAACTCAAATAAATCTGTTTTATGTGATCCGTATCTCTTATAGCTGGTACACAAATAACCGATCCATTCATTACTTGTATCAGTCCCACCTTCTTAGTAACTATCATATCAGGTGTTGGTTTGCAAATGCTTTTAAATGTTGACGTCACTAGCAGCTGCCAGAGTCTCTAAACCTTTGAGATGACAGGTCATTAAAGCGTTTTAATATATATAAAAGTTACCTGTGAGTTCATGACCCTCACTTTACAAAGTAGACGTACATTTGAAGTGGTGTACACAAAATAATAAAGGAACATGCGACCGAAATAATCTTTAATTGGGTTTTGGCCCAAAAAAACACATGTGGTTACATGCCTCCAGCTTGACAAGGCATAAAATAGATATCAACAGTCGCTGTGATGCAGCTGAGGCTAAAGTGCACAGGGATATGTTATACAGTGTCATGCTCTACCTGCAGCCTCTTTATTTAGGGATGACCTGGTAGATTAGTACCATGTTTTTTTTCCTTTTGAAGCAGATAGACCTACAGTGCCACTAAAGTAAGGCACAGACCACTATCTGCTATCCAAAGCGGTCTGGAAAATTACATTATGGAAGCAAAAGTGTGTGTGTGTTTGAGATTATGTAGTTGTTTTCTTATATAACGTTAAAAGTTATATCGACTGATGTAAACACGTAAAAGCAAATCCAAGAAAAACTGTGATATTCATTCATGCTACACTAATACAAATATTTAAAGGTCACCTATTATGCAAAATACACTTTTTCATGTATTTTATACATAAACATGTGTCCCCTCTGTGTAAAGAGATTCTGGAAATGTAAGAAAAAAGGATTTGCTCACTTTTTGTCATGATCCATTTATATAAAAACCTGTCTGAATATGAGCTGATCAGACTTTGGCCACTTGTGTAACCATTATCCAATAACCAACCAAGGTAACCCCCCCACCTTATCACCTGAATCTCCTCCTAGAGCACCATTGTGGTATTTTTAACCAAATATCTCTCAGATGGGCATGGGGAGTGGCACCTTATTTTCATCTAAAGCAGGGGTCTCCAACCTTTCTTCATCTGAGAGCTACTTTGACATTTTTTGGCCAAGAGCTACTTGCATCACATCGCTTACATTTATTCACATAGCACTCATCAGTTGAATTAAGCTACTTTTGTACACGTGTGAAATTGCAATACCCAAAGCTTATCAATAATCTTAACTTCACATCAAGGTCCAAGAAAACAACAATTTCTCACATATTATTATGGCCAACATAGTAAATACATCACTGAAAATTCACATAAATGTCCAAGAGAAAAAGACAATTTTTTCACTTCTTATTATGGCCCACATAGTAAATACATCACCTTAATCACCACCTTACAAGCATCTTATGGCACATGTGTAAAATAAGTGCATAGACTCTTTTTTACAGTCAGTGAGATGACTGGCACTGCATGGAGTCCACCATAGAGGTGTATGCTGGAGTGTACCCACTCAGGTTCACTCTAATTGGCAAGGCAAGTTTATTTATATAGCACCTTTCAACACAAGGCAATTCAAAGTGCTTTACAAAAATGAAAGACATTAAGAGCATTAAGAAACATATTATAAAATGATATCTAGAAACACTCATTTAAAGGTGGGGTAGGTAAGTTTGAGAAACCGGCTCGAGATACACTTTTTGTTATATTCCATGGAATGCTCTTAACGTCCCGATAGCAATGAATGTATTAAGTGCTTTGACAAAAAATCCATAAAGAAATGTCATCTGTGGAAGCCGTAGTACTGTAAAAAGCACGACCAATCATTTTAGCCGGCCCGGCTAAAATAACTGGATGGCCTACCTGCCTGTCAGCCTTCCATCTGTGCACAAACTTATCTCGTGCCCTCATTGGTCATGTGCGCGTTCGTGTGTGTTGGAGGAGGGGCTCTATAAGGAAGTGGCAGATTTTCTCCGGTTGTGTATTTTCAAATTCTAGCGATCTCGAGCCGGTTTCTCAAACTTACCTACCCTACCTTTAAAAGCAATGATATAAAATGACATTTAAAAACACTAATTTAAAAGCAAAGATAAAAAGCAAAGATAATAAAAGTTACAGTGCAGTTTAAGATATGCATATCTCAATTAAAAGCAGCGGCAAAAAGAAAAGTCTTCAGCCTGGATTTAAAAGTAGTAAGAGTTGCAGCGGACCTGCAGGTTTCTGGGAGTTTGTTCCAGATATTTGGAGCATAATAACTGAACGCTGCTTTACCATGTTTAGTTCTGACTCTGGGGACAGAAAGCTGACCAGTCCCAGAAGATCTGAGAGTTCTGGATGGTTCATAATTTAGCAGGAGGTCAGAAATGTATTTTGGGCCTAAACCATTCAATGCTTTATAAACCAGCAGCAGTATTTTGAAATCAATTCTTTGACACACAGGAAGCCAGTGTAAAGACTTCAGAACAGGAGTGATGTGATCCACTTTCTTAGTGTTGGTAAGGACTCGAGCAGCGGCGTTCTGAATCAGCTGCAGCTTTCTAATGGATATGTTAGTGAGACCTGTGAAGACACCATTACTGTAGTCGAGTCTACTGAAGATAACAGCATGGACAAGTTTTTCCAAATCCTGCTGTGACATTAGTCTTTTAATCCTAGATATGTTCTTTAGGTGATAGTAGGCTGATTTAGTAACTGTTTTAATGTGACTGTTGAAACTCAGGTCAGAGTCCATGACTACACCTAGATTTCTGGCTTTATCTGTTGTTTTGAACATTGCAGACTGAAGCTCAGCGTTAACTTTTATACGTTCTGCCTTGGCTCCAACAACTATTACCTCAGTTTTATCTTTGTTTAATTGGAGAAAGTTCTGACACATCCAGTCATTTATTCGTTCAATACACTTATGGCGCAGTTCCACTACAGCGCGGAGCTCGCTTTAAGCGTGCCGTGTCGTGCCGTACCCGTTTTTGGTTGCGCTTCCACTAGGCCTAGTTACGGCCCGGCCCGGCCCGGGGCCACTTTTTCACCTCTTTTCTGGCCCGACAAAATTGTGGTTCTATCGGGGCCAACAAACAGGGCTGAGTCGGGCTGAGTATGCTAAACTAGAGAGAGGAGCGCTGGCAAGAGGGCTCCAACTACAACAAGATGGACATATTTGACCGTGATTTAATTGTAATACACGTTTCAAAATGATGCCGAAGTAACAACATACTGATACCGGTTAGTAAAAACCATGAATTAATGCTTTGTCAAGTCTGCAGACAGACGGCAGGCGAAAAACCTTTTAAAATTCGTGTTTTTCTAGATGGAGATTGGCTAAGCTAACGCAGTATATGCCCCGACCGTCCACACTCACAACAACGGCCTATACAGACATAAATAAAGCAGCGACTGTATTCACCATGACACAGGCAGTCTGTGGTGTGTACTTGTTTAACTTTTGTCGAGTTTCTGAACATATATAAGGAGCTGTGAGCTCTGAGTGCTAACAGCTAACGGCTGTGTTGTGTTTTCTGGAGTTCTCATTGAAGATGACGTCACGGCTCCGCCTACACTGCGTTACTATAGTAACTACCCCAGTTCCTAAACTGTAATGGAAGCGCAGCATGAAGTGAGTCGGCCCTGTTAAGGCCCAACGCGGCCAAGCCGTACCGAGCCGTACCGAGCGTGGCCGAGGCCGACCGTGTAGTGGAAATGCGGCATTACTCAGTGTTTGAATTGGAGCATAGTCTCCTGGTGAAATGGTTATGTTAATTTGGGTGTCATCCGCATTGCTATGGTAACTTATTTTGTAGTTTTTCATTATCTGAGCCAGTGGTAGCATGTAGATGTTAAAGAGAAGAGGCCCCAAGATGGAGCCTTGAGGTACCCCACATGTCATATTTGTCAACTCAGATGTGTATTTACCTATAGAAACAAAGTTTTTTCTGTCCTTTAAGTAGGATTCAAACCAATTTAGAACTGTTGCCGAAAGTCCCACCCAGTTTTCCAGTCGGTCTAGTAATATGTTGTGGTCAACAGTGTCAAACGCAGCACTGAGATCTAATAATACTAACACTGAGGTTCTGCCACTGTCTGTGTTTAAGTGGATGTCATTGAAGA